TGAATGAAAGCAAAGAAATAAAGAGAGAAGTTCAGAGGTAGGAAGATGAAAAAATAATGTAAAACTAAAATCGATTAAGAAGAAACTAGAAATGATAGCAGTCGGGGTGGGGGAAATAAAGGACGAAAGGAAGAACAAATCCCCTGAAGTAGAAAGAAAACAAAAGTCTTAAAATATAAACGCTTTAAAAAAATAAGAAGAATTAAAAAGATTTTCTGTAATACCGTAATAATTAAACGTCACAATTGGTATATTTTTTTTACATAAAAAATTCCTAATTTCCAATTGGACAAATCATTAAACTTTTAAATATCGATTCATTATTATATTCGAGCGGTTACTGAAAAGTTCTCGACTGGACTCTCAGGGTCGTAGAGGCACCATATAGCAGCAGTCGTGTTTCATGAGCAAGACAGCCTGACGGAGCTCAACCCTCTCAGGGCTAGTTTGAATTCAAAATTTTCATTCTGTACTGTTTACCGATAGTAGAGACTCGGAGAGATGGCTATTAGCGCGTAAGTGAATTTTACTAACTCGGCTGGAATTCGAGCACGGCTCTCCGTTGCTATAATCCAAGCTGCTATCCATTACCACTCCATTCATTCTACAGTCAGATTTAAAGAAGAAAAAAACTTTTCTTGGAGAATTTTAGCATCTACCGTCCAATAACAGTTGATACATTTGCATACACATTTTATAGACGAAATGTCGCAACTGTTACGGAACAGTGGTCCTGCTGATAAGAAAGAGCGTTGTGGACATACTTGTTATTTAATAATCAAGAGTGGTCTCCCTTTATTTTGTTACTCCCCATTTTTTGAGAAGCTATTTTTGTTTAGTTTGTGGAATAATGTATTATTCCATCTACAACATTCTACGCGTTTGACACCCCTTTCTGAGTAGTAAACTGGTTTTGTCGTCAGCCAAGCGACCTGCTATTCCTTCTTATGCAAATTAGATTTTTGAAATCTTTTGACGTCACGGACAAACTGTTGTTTCACTATCCAGACTCGGAACTCATTTTATCCATGTCAATAAAGGTTGACAGATAAAGGATATCTTACGATGCGACCCACAAAAACGACCCTTTTGGCTCGTCGCACAAACGAGGCGTGCAAACGTTCGCCCTTTTGCCATAATTAACTTCATAGACGATTTTGACCGCAACTAGATCTTCGTCCTTTTGGCTAGACGTCCACAGCATTCCGTTAAAATTCTCGACAGTTAATTCAAGTCCTGACCGAACTCTGAGTTACTTTGAACCTGAACACAAAAAAAAAAAACACAAAATCACATTTCAAATCAATGGACTCTGAACCAGTACCTAAAAAATATATTTTTCACTCACATTAGCAAAAACTCGCAGTGAGTATTTTCGTATATTATTCTGGTAGATGACTTTTTGGAACTGTCTTTTCAAGAACTTTTCCCGCCTTGCCATCTTGTTTTTCTATTTTTTATTTTTTGATCCCTACCACGGATAAGTTACTTGTTTTCTTTTTAATTATTTGTTTATTTTTTCTTTTATTTATCTTTATTTTAATGTATTTTGGTTTACATCACTTCGTTGTTTTACGCATTTTTTATCTTTTTTTACTTTTGCTTTAATTTTTAGTGTGGTGTTGGCACAAGGTTTTGTAATAAACCAGCACTGCACCCTACCGGGCCTGCAACAAGTTTACTGGAACACTATTCGTGAACCTTATATTCTGAGTTGAATAAAGTTTTCTTAAAACCTACACCTGTGTACTTTTGTCATTACAATACCATTTTATTAAAATCCTTAACAAATACATTTTTACAGTCGTTCCCTTGTTTACATTCGGTTTTTTCTATGAATCGTCGAAAGATGTTCTTTTCTTGTTGTCATTATTATTTTGAGGTTTTTATTATTTATTTATTTGTTCTTTTATTTATTTTTATTTTACTTATTTTTTGTTTATATTTTATTTATTAATTTTTTATTAGTTATTTTGTTTTTTATTTTTAACCAGATGGTCAGTTGGTATTCTGTTGCAGGAATATTATTATTAGTATAAAAAATAAAAATATAAAATAATAATAATGAAACTAATAAATAAAATAAAACAATAAAAATGTTGTATATAATAAATTAAATAAAAATTAAAGATAATAAAACTCTCCCAGCATGCAACTAAAACTGTTCCTGCCGGAAATACGGACATCCCGTCAAAAGACATTAAATTTAGCCTCTTCACCACGAACCATAGTACGAGCAACACGTCTCTGTGTGATATGTCTTGTAATACTACGGAGTAAATTTATCCCTTTTATAACATGTACTATAAAACAATTGTAACATACAAAATGCACATTAAAAAATATAAATAAATTGATGAGCTTTTTCCTGTTATTTGTGTACGTTTTATTTCCGTCAAGTATGCTTTATCTCAGGGAACACAGGATAAACTGTTGTGATGTGAGTGAATGACCATTTGGTGAACGCCGACGTATATAAGAAAAACAACCTTTCAATCACACAACTTGAATAAGAAATCAGAGAGCCGAGTTCAAATTCCAGTCGAGTTAGTTACATTCACTTGTGTGCAAATACAGTTGGGAAAGTTTAAATATCTCCTGTCTTAAATAATAGGATTTTATTTATTTCTATTCACTCGCAAAAAAAAAAAGATTCATCTTACAATCCAAAAATATGTTTCGGCTTTTTAAATAAGCCACAAAGGGTTGATAAATCATAAAAAATCAAAGCAATCAAACTGGTGGACAATAGAAAGGGAATTTACACGCACATCCAGGCTTAAAGCACTTGGTATTTTCAAGCGGTTACCCATCTAGATACTGACCAGCATGGACGTTGTTTAATTCTTATTGAGCTGTTGCAGTGAAGGTGAAGCATAAATTTAGGACTATGGGAGATATATAACAAATTAACAGTAAGAGTTGAATTGTCGCTCTTCTTTTGGGATATGCTGGGTTATAAAAGATAATTTCAGTTTGTTTCGATTTCCAAACGATCTGGAATATCAGAATATGACAGAATTTTAACTTCATCTCCATTGAAATTTTTTCATCTTTTTCTTCTACTTCTATATGTAACGTGTCCCTTCAGGGTGTTACCAAGCAAGTCCAGCGGACGACTTTATAAAGCCTTGTGATAATCTATAAAACACAGGGACATATTTTCTGATATCATCCTGAGCATAAATATCGCATTCCTTCTTCCAGAGTCTTTAACGAACTCATAATATTCTTGGGATCTTTTGTCTGATTCTGTTGATTCTCTAAGAAAATTGGTGTATGAGGTCAATGCGGATTATTAATTGTCCTGTCTATATGAAATCATCATCCCATAAGTTTTCTGAATTTTGAATAAAGAAAACAAGTGTCTAAAGTTACATTTAATTACAGATTCAATCAACAATGTTTTTCCTGATTATCTATGACTTCCTTGGTTAAAAGCTTACTAATTCCATTCTGTAAAATTCTTTTGGCTTTGATTCGAGGAACTCACAAATGTAGTTTTAACCTCTTTTGTTACAAAAGTTTCTTCCAAATGATTCTGTAAGCTCCGAAACAAATTAGTTGCATTAGGTGGCTGAGGAATTCAAAAGTTCTTGGATGGCTTTTGTGACGTGATTTTGCTGTGTGGGTCGCGCATTGTCCTGATGAAACATCTTTTCGATTCACTAGAGCAGATCTTTTTTTTCCTCAAAGCTTGGTTCAAAGGCTCTAATTGCTGACAGTATATTTGAGCATTAATTGTTGCATTAGGTGGTAAGAATTCAAAGTGGATTATTCGGATCCCACCAGTTTGAAAAAGAACCTTTCCTTCTCGGGGTCCTGGGGTCCTTCCCTTTACGAAGCCACTGTTTATGACGCTTAACCTTTTGATAAAGATCCATTTTCCTCGCCAGTCACAAGTCTATCCAAAAAGGTGAAACAAGTTGGCGAGAATGGAGAGAAGAGCAGATGTCAACTCGAGATTTGAGGTTGTTTTCAGACAATTCATGAGGCACCCATTTTCCAAGTTTAGGAACTTTTCCAAGTTGTTGAAGATGACAATGAACAGTTGTGTGGTTTGAACTGGGAACCACTGCCAATTCCTCAACTGATAAAGCAGGATTTTCTTCAAGGGATGCTTCAAGAAGCTTTTCATCAAACTCGACTGGACGTCTGGTTCGATCTTCATCTTCGAGGGTAAAATCTCCACCTTTGAATGCTGCAAACCATCTTCTGCAAGTTCTTTCATTCACACATTCCTCTCCATAAACTGAGTGAATGTTTCTAGCCGCTTCGGCTGCTGAGTTTCCTTTCTTGAACTCATAAAGCATTATGTGCCTCAAATGATTCTTGGGTACTTCCATGTTAGCAGGGTTTTAATCAAACAAAATTTAATTTTATTGTTCTCTGAAATAAAATTTGATCAGTTTAAATGCATTTAAACATAAAAATAATGTTCAGCTTCATTAGACATTATAAAATACTCTTTAAATTTCGTTCATTTTAACAAAAAGTTAAAATTTGGACAGAACTTATGGGATGACCTGATACATTATTTACATTATTCAGACTATTGTCCTCATCTTTGTCGCCATATTTATATGAGCACTGGTAAAATGGTTGCTGATGACATTAGGTTTATAATACCCAGAAATTCATACCCAGATGACACATGGCACAGTGGATAAAGGCGTTGGTTAGATCCAGTGACAGGACCCAAGGAGTGTGAGTTCAATACTCGGTTAAGGCAGTGGAGAACTTTCAGAGGGAAATTAACAGGAGATAACTGACAACTGACATCCATTAAACATGGCACGTGGGACTAGAACAGTCTACCCCAGTGAGCGAAATAAAGGGTTCAGTTCGACATTCCAATCACCTGAAGAAGACCGGAGCGTACAAAGGCCAAAACGTTGTGACAAATATGGCAGCAAAGATGAGGACAATAGTTCGAATAATGTAAATAATGAGCTAAGAATTCAGTTTAGAGCATTACCCATTTGTTTGTTCCTGTGGTTATGTCTTCGATCTTTTCCTTCATATTGTTTTCTTACATTTCTTATTTATGTTTTCATACTTTTATTTATGTTTTCATACTTTTACAAAGTTCTTGTAATGGCATTCACCCGGGGTGGGTTGAGCCGGCTCCAATATTAGAGTTTCATAGGAATTTGGAATGCACAAGCGGTCCCCAGCCTGCATGTATAGCACATGAGATTTGATTTTCGTGATGAAGGTTTCATGCAGGACCATCCACACTTTTTGAAGGGTCGAATACAGAGATCTGGTGCACTACGTGCCACAAGGTCCCCAGACGACCCTCCGCAGGTTTTGAATTCAGAGTTGTCCTTCTTCTAGAACAGTTGCCATCCAAGGCTATAGAACCCAGTCTTTACTGCTATTTACCCATAGCTGGAGGGAGAAGAAGAGGATTCACATCTTTCCCAAGGGTATTAGCACGGAAGTGAATGTATAATGGATTCGACTGGAATTCGAACTCGGCTCTCCGATTCCTCAATCCAAGCCAATATCCATTACTTCACTGTGCCTCCTCAATAACTCCACCATGCCTCCACTTTTACAAAATAAAAAAAAAAAACTGATGTGTATTCACAGGGCGTTGGGAGAAAAATTGAAGAAGTATATCATACAATGTGCATTTGATACGGTTTTTTTTGGTTGTTTTGTCTCATTTCACATTAAGAAAACTTCAAAAGATTCATCATTGGGGAAAATTACCCCCCAAAAAAACTAAAAAAAAAAAAACAGACATCAATAAAAGTCTTTGGAAGAAGAAAAGACTTTACTTAGAGTTATCAATCTATTGATTAGTCTCTTTGTATATTTCAGTCATTGCATGTCTATATAGTTATGGTAAACAATAACTATTTCAATCTGTTCATATACAGTGATTCATGTAACACTTGTGAAACATCTACTAAACAGTCTATTCCTATCCAAATATATATCTTGATATGTTCATATCTATCAAGATATATTTATTTTGGATTGTTCACAATTATCTATATATGTATCTTGGTCAATGCATACCTATCTATTTATCTATCAATATATCTATCTTGCTGTGCTCATATGTCTCTTGATCTGTTCATATCTATCTAGTCCTGTTCATATCTATCTATCTATCTATCTATCTATCTAGTCCTGTTCATATCTATCTATCTATCTATCTATCTAGTCCTGTTCATATCTATCTATCTATCTATCTATCTATCTATCTAGTCCTGTTCATATCTATCTATCTATCTATGTATCTATCTATCTATCTATCTAGTCCTGTTCATATCTATCTATCTATCTATCTATCTATCTATCTATCCTGTTCATATCTATCTATCTATCCTATTCATCTATCTATCTATCTATCCTATCTATCATATCTATGTTCTATCTAGTCCTGTTCATATCTATCTATCCCTATCTTGTTCTATTCATCTATATATATATCTATCTATCTCCCTATGTTCATCATATATATATATATATTTAACATATCTAACCCTATCTATCTCTCTATCTTGTTCTGTTCATATATCTATCTAGCCAGCTAGCTCTGTTCATATCTATCTATCTATCTATCTATTCATCATCTATCTATCTATCTATCTTGTATCTTGTTCTGTTCATATCTATCTAGCCAGCTAGCTCTGTTCATATCTATCTATCTATCTATCTATCTATCTTGTTCTGTTCATATCTATCTAGCCAGCTAGCTCTGTTCATATCTATCTATCTATCTATCTATCTATCTTGTTCTGTTCATATCTATCTAGCTAGCTCTGTTCATGTGTATCTCTCTACCTTTTTCTGTTCGTATCTATCTATCTATCTATCTATCTAGCTCTGTTCAAATATATCTTGTTCTGTTCTTATCCATCTCAGTCAGTTTATTTCTATCTCTTTATCTATCAATCTACCTCAGTCAGTTTATATCTATCTAAGTTAGTTTATATCTATTTATCTAAGTTAGTTAGTTTCTATCTATCTATCTATCTATCTATCTATCTATCTATCTATCTCTCAGTCAGTTCATATCTATCTTTATTTTTGTTTTTAATCATCCCCCCACCTGGCAGGAATGCTACCAGTGTGCATGGGGTTACAGAGACTGAATCTGAGAGAAAAGACTGGCTGTAGGGGGAATGATGAAAGGATAAAAGAGGAATGGGTTTTAGACATGTCACTCTGGTACAATGGAAGAAGTAATTCCTGTGGGCTATAGCAGCAGAGCCTGCAGGTGAAAACGAAGGAGATGAACATAGCTTAACTTGGTATTTCCTTGCTGGAATGAAAGGATTGATGCCAGTTTTCATCCAGGAGGAGACCTCTGATGCACATTTTGCAACAAAATGATTAAAAACTTTATTCCAAGGGATGTCATGAAGGAAATCACAGAATGAGTACCAATCTGCTTGTTGATAATGGAAAGATATTCTGTTGGTAGGAGATTCTTGGCTGGCGGTGGGAGGTTGCAGAAAGAGATGTTTACAGATACCACCACATGATCAGAGTTTTCAAGAGGTATAGATGTAAAAAGATATCTAGAAGTGACGCTTGTTCATCAGGTTTACTGGGGAAATGCGTGGGGAAGTCAACCACTTGCATGAGAGATTAAGGGTTTGGATGCCAGTGAAGTCAGTGACAGAGTGTTTAAGTCACCTGGTATGGTGGGAATTAATGTCACTGTCACTATTTGCAAGTAGGTGTAGGGAGATGGCCTTGTCTATATTATTGGGAAAAAAAAACATTTTTCACCCATTAAAATAGATAGATGGGATTTATCTCTATTAAATCAAATTTTTTTTCTGTTTTCTATGCATATTTAGTTATTATGCATCTGTCTACAGTTAATTACATAAAAAGTATGTTTATACATTAATTGGAAATACAATAAATTAAAAAGTTCTATATGTACAGATATTTGTTTCCCACCGACTGTATATATCTGTCACATCATATCTAACTATCTTTCTATATGTCTATATCAGTCAGTTTATATATTTCTATCTGTATCAGACATTTTATATCTATGTATCTATCTATCTTTATCAGTCAGATTATATCTTTCTATTACAGTCAGTTTATATTTATTTGCCTGTTTGAGTCAGTCAGTTTATATCTATCTGTGTTAGTCAGTTTATATCTATCTGTCTATATCAGTAAGTTTATATCTATCTGTGTCAGTCAGTATCTATCTATCTGTCTATATCAGTAAGTTTATATCTATCTGTGTCAGTCAGTATCTATCTATCTATCTATCTATCAGTTTATATCTATTTGTCTATCTATCTATCTATCTTATTCAGTTTATATCTATTTGTCTATCTATCTATCTATCTATCTATCTATCTATCTATCTATGGCTGTTTGTATCTGTTTATACATGTTGGCCTATTCATATCTATATATCTATCAACATTTGTTTGTATCTATTTCTCTTCTGTCTTTGTCTGGTCATATCTCTCTCTCTCTCTTTCTCTATCTTTCTCTATTGATATCTATCTCTCTATCTATATATATCTCATTCATTTGGTATCTGTCTGTCTAGCTATCTGTCTGACAGTTGATATCTATCTATCTGTCTGTATGACTGTTTTTGTCAGTCAGTTCTATCTATGTATATCAGTCAGTTTATATCTAGCTATCTAGCTATACCAGACAGTTTGTATCTATTTATCTCAGTAATTATCATTGTGTCTGAATCAGTTAGTATCTATCTATCAATATCAGTCATTATCTATCTATGTCAGTCATTATCTATTTATCTACCTTTCTGTATTAGTCATTATTTATCTATCTATGTCAGTCATTATATATCTATTTGTGTCAGTCATTATCTATTTATCTATCTTTCTGAGTCAGTGATTATCTATTTGTGTCAGTCATTATCTATGTCAGTTATCTATTTTTCTGTGTCAGTCATTATCTATGTCTGTCATTATCTATCTGTGTCAGTCATTATCTATCTATATTTCTATTTATCTGTGTCAGTCATTATGTCGGTCATTATCTATCTATCTGTGTCAGTCATTATCTATGTCAGTTATTATCTATCTATCTATCCATCTGCCTGTGTTAGTCAGTTTATATATATTTATCTATATTTCTCTTGGTCATGTTATATCTATCTTTCTGGTCATGCTATATCTGTCTATCTGTCTAGATCAGTCAGTTTATATCTATCGAGCTATTTATCTCAGACAACTTATATCTGTGTCAGTATCAATCTATCTACATGTCTGTTTCAGTCAGTATCTATCTATTTAGCTATGCATTGTTGTTTGTATCTATCTATGTATATATGTATCTATCTTCATCTTTTCCTGCCTATTTCTCTATCTGTCTTGGTCTGTATGTATCTCTCTGTTACTACTGATATCTATCTATCTGTCGATATCTATTGGTCTATCTCAATGTTAATATCTATCTGACTCAATCTGTTGAAATCTGTAATTCTCACACTGTTGATACCTATTTCTCTATCTATCTGTGTCAGTCAGTTTATATCTGTCTGTCTATGTCAGTTTATATCTATCTACATATCTATCTATATATATGTGTAAATCAGTTTATCTCTATGTGAATTAGAAAGATAAATAGACAGATATAATAGATATAGATATATATATATATATATATATATATATATATATATATATATATATATATATATATATATATATATATATAAACTGATTTTACACAGATATAAACTGACTGAGATAGATATAAACTATATGAATCAGTTTTTATATATATATATATATATATGTGTGAATTCGTTATATCTATCAATTGCTGCGTCAATCAGTTTATATCTATCTATCTCAATCAGCTTATATCTATCTATCTCAATCAGCTTTATATCTATCTATCTATCTATCTGTGTCAATCAGTTCATATCTATCTATGTCAATCAGTTTATATCTATCTATCTATCTGTGTCAATCAGTTTATATCTATGTCAATCAGTTTATATCTATCTATCTATCTATCTATCTGTGTCAATCAGTTCATATCTATCTATCTATGTCAATCAGTTTATATCTATTTATTTATCTATCTATCTACCTGTGTCAATCAGTTCATATCTATCTATCTATGTCAATCAGTTTATATCTATCTATTTATCTATCTATCTATCTACCTGTGTCAATCAGTTCATACCTATCTATCTATGTCAATCAGTTTATATCTATCTGTGTCAATCAGTTTATATCTATCTAACTGTGTCAATCAGTTTATATTTATCTATCTATTTATCTACCTGTGTCAATCGGTTTATATCTATCTATCTATCTATCTATCTATCTGTGTCAATCAGTTCATATCTATCTATCTATGTCAATCAGTTCATATCTATCTATCTGTGTCAATCAGTTTATATCTATCTACCTGTGTCAATCAGTTTATATCTATCTATCTATCTACCTGTGTCAATCAGTTCATATCTATCTATGTCAATCAGTTTATATCTATCTATCTATCTGTGTCAATCAGTTCATATATATGTCAATCAGTTTATATCTATCTATCTATCTATCTATCTATCTATCTATGTCAATCAGTTCATATCTATCTATCTATGTCAATCAGTTTATATCTATGTCAATCAGTTTATATCTATCTATCTATCTATCTATGTCAATCAGTTCATATCTATCTATCTGTGTCAATCAGTTTATATCTATCTACCTGTGCCAATTAGTTTATATCTATCTATCTATCTATCTATCTATCTATCTACCTGTGTCAATCAGTTCATATCTATCTATGTCAATCAGTTTATATCTATCTGTGTCAATCAGTTCATATATATGTCAATCAGTTTATATCTCAATCATTCATCTATCTATGTCAATCAGTTTTCATATCAATCATTTATATCAATCTAGTATTATATCTATCTGTGTCAATCAGTTTATATCTATCTATCTCATCTATCATATATCTATGTCAATCAGTTTATATCTATCTATCTATCTATCTATCTATCTATGTCAATCAGTTCATCTATCTATCTATCTATGTCAATCAGTTTATATCATTCATCAATCTATCTCAATCAGTTTTTATCTATCTATTATATATCTCAATCAGTTTATATCTATCTATCTATCTATCTATGTCAATCAGTTTATATCTATCTATCTATCTATCTATCTATCTATCTATCTATCTATCTATCTATCTATGTCAATCAGTTTATATCTATCTATCTATCTATCTATCTATGTCAATCAGTTTATATCTATCTATCTATCTATCTATCTATCTATCTATGTCAATCAGTTTATATCTATCTATCTATCTATCTATCTATCTATCTATCTATGTCAATCAGTTTATATCTATCTATCTGTCTGTGTTAATCACTACATATCTATCTGTGCCAATCAGTTTATATCTATCTATCTCAGTCATGTTATATCTCTCTATGTTGCTCTGTTCAAATGTATCTATCGTGAGCTTTATATCTAACTGTTTACCTCTCTGTCTGTATTACTCAGCTTTTCTCTGTCTATCTCTCTCAGTCTGCTTATATCTATATGCCTGTCATAGTCAGTTTATATCTATATTTATATATCTTGGTCTGTCCATCTATCTATCTTCATCTGTTCATATCTATCTATTTATAAATCTATCTGTCTCACTTTCTTGATATCTATCGATCTATTTCACTCTGTTAATATCTATCTATGTATCTCTCTGTCTCAATCTGTTGATATCTATCAATCTATCATTCTCACACTGTTGATATCTATCTATATATCTCTCTGTTGCAATTTGTTGTTATCCATCTGTTTATCATTCTCACACTTGATATCTGTCTCACTCTCTTGATATCTAACTCACTCTTTTGATATCTATCTAGCTATCAGCCTCACTGTTGATATATATATTGATCTGTCTGTCTCACTGTTGATATCTATATCTATCTATATATATATATATATATATATATATATCTGTCTCATTTATCTATCTACCTAGCTCTCTGTTGATATCTATCTCTTGATATCTATATATTTGTCTCTGTTGATATTTCTATGTTGTTATTTATCAATTTATCTGTCTCCATCTGTTGATGTCTATCTACATATCTATCTGACTCTGTTGTTACCTATTTACCTGACTTTTTTGAGATCTATCTCTCTTTTTATCTGTGTCTGATGATATCTATCTCTTTATCTAACTGCTGTTATCTTTCTATCTATCTGACTGTTGATATCAATCCATATTTATATGTTGATATCTATCTATCTATTAGTCTCACTGTTGATAACTATTAGTCTCACTGTTGATAACTATTTGTCTCAATGTTGATATCTATCTATCTATTAGTCTCAATGTTGATATCTATCTATCTATTAGTCTCACTGTTGATATCTATCTATCTATCTATCTCACTGTTGATATCTATCTATCTATCTATCTATCTATCTATCTCACTGTTGATATCTATCTATCTATCTATCTATCTCACTGTTGATATCTATCTATCTATCTATCTATCTATCTCACTGTTGATATCTATCTATCTATCTCACTGTTGATATCTATCTATCTATCTATCTCACTGTTGATATCTATCTATCTATCTATCTCACTGTTGATATCTATCTATCTATCTATCTATCTCACTGTTGATATCTATCTATCTATCTATCTATCTATCTATCTATCTATCAGTCTCACTGTTGATATCTATCTATCTGTTATGTATGTATGTATTTATCTGTCTATTTACCTGACTATCTCAGTCAGTTTATATCTATTGCCTCCAGACTACTTTGAAATCTCCTGCAACTCTTATGGATGATGTCGTTGTATAACTTGTTGAATGCTGTTACTGGTGTAACAAGGGTTTTGTTGATCACTTGCTCAACTGTTTGCCACACCTATTAATCAGGGGAGTTGAGTCTGGGAAGTTAGGTGGCCAGATGTAAGAGGTGATGTGATTGCAGAAATTGTCTGAGAGCCATGACTTGGTTCTCCTGCATGTGTTGCATGGTGCAGAGTTCTGTTGCCAGACATAGGATCTTCCAGCAGCTACACTCTTGACCCAAGGCAACACTACCTTATCAAGGGACTTGATATAGGACTCCATGTTGAGTTTGAGAGTTCTTTTCTCATCAGAACAATCAGAGTGAATTTTCCAAGCTACCATACAATTGTAATCACCATTAGACTCATCCAACTCTTTCTGAATCCTCTTCATTTGCCCTGGATATGACAAGTTTCAGGGAAACTAGAAACCATATCATAGTTAATTGTTGATCCTGTTCACACAAATCATTCACTCTAGTGAATAGCCTCTTCTTCCTGTGCCATTTTCATTTTGAACATGTTTGATCATGGCTCTCCACAACATCCTATATGATTTTAGCTCTTAAATCTCCTTGTTCTGCCATTCCTTTGCACTCTTTCTCTCTATTTGCATTCAGTATGTTATGTGAGTGCCAAATTCTCCAAGTCCTCTTTCCTCATTATGATTTTAGAAATTTTATTTCTTCATGCTCTATATAACATAGATATAATCTATGTCTCAGCCTTTTGTCTCACACTTTCTATATACATAATTTTATATATATATAGAGAGAGAGATATATAACTTTATATAATTCTATATACATAATTTGTACATTCTTTTTCTTATGTCAAAAAAGTGCTTAATTTTAAGTATTTTTAAAAGTGCTTTTTAATATGCATAAAAATATTTTTGTGTCAATTTAACAATTAAAACATTGTTTCATACATTTCAGTGATATTTCCAAAATGAGCGTTTGATATATTTCCGGGTTATATAACGATGTCATCTATGCCTTGTCAAATGCCCTCCACTTCATGTCATATAGTAGATGAAATAGATCAACCCGGGAGGGTAGTTTATTTAAGAGAAGGAAAACTCTGATTTGAAAACTTTGCTGCCTTTGTAGCCCATAAGAAAGTTTTGGGGAGTAAACCCTGAAAACAAATTTGTAGCAGAGACAGTCTGCAGAAGTTTAACTTCCAAGATGGTTTCTGGCATGGGATAATTCACTTCATGGCTTGAAAGAAGTTTTTAGCCTTGGGTAGCAGTCTTTCTAGAGATGGTATTTTGATAAAAACAACCAGATGTAGGATTGGTGTCCTGCATTTTGTATCAGCTATCGAAAGGATTTTAGTTCCGACCAACTATAAAGAGGTTGAAGGATGATCTTAAACATCAAAGTCCTGAAGACAACCAGCAGCCTAAGCATTGAAACTTAAACTCTTATTATGTTATACCGGAACGTACCTATTCTATTATTAATAGACTCTCCCACATATAATAAGTAGTAGTAGTAGCAGTCGCCATGGGGCTCAGTGAGTTGGTGAGTCAGTCGATGTCGGACATTAAAGTATCAACCACCGCAACTAGATTGCTGCGTCATTAACTATTATTTCAAGTTCCTAACGTTTTGTACGTTGGTCCTAATTTAGGACCGACTTAGTGAAATACAAGCCTCCACTGTGAAAACTACTCTACAACACATTACAACCCCAAGGGTGAAGAAAGAAGACTACAGTTTTCCAGAGATCTTCGTATTTGGTGGTAGGGATAAAAAATCATATTGAATGTATCTGATTGGATGAATTAAATATGATACTCATCGCCTGTGGAGTCAAATGTCTGCCACTAGGTAGATAGAGGTATGAAGTCAGAAAGATAGACATGTATTTGGCTTATGCAAGAATAATAAAGGCAGGCATAGGTCTGGTTTGGCACGAGAAATGCAAAGAAAAAATATATATGTTTGGTTTACACTAGAGTCAAATAGATAGATATAAATTCAATTTGCACTAGAGTTAAATGGTAATAGTAATATCAGCCGTTTCCTTATAAGGAAACATGCAGCATTCATTGACCAAGCAGCCAGTATTGCTATTGGTTAAAATTTTTAAAATCATTTTTTTTAAATATTTTGGGAAGATAAGTTTCTAAAGTTCAGTAGTTGTTATCACATTTTCCAGTATTGATGGAAGTTTCCTTTCTAACCTTTTATCTGAAATAGTGTGGAATGTCAACATCTTGATAATGTAATTATCTTCTCTTCTGTTGAAATTCCTCAAGTAATGTCATTTCTGTTATTTGGAGGAGGTCTTTGTTTGTTATTCTGTAGCACCAGTCAACAATGTTCAAAGTTCAGCAACTGATACAACTGATAGTTTAGATATTTCTGAACAGGTTTGGTGACAGGCCTGACATCCATATAAAAGTTACAGTCTGACTAGATTATTTAAGAATGTGACTCAAGTTTTGCAGGTTAAGATTTTGATTTTGTAGCAATTTGTGATGTTGATCAAAACTACCTCTGGTGCAGGCTATTTGATCTTCAGTTTTTTTTTTCTCCTATACTAAATTTGTTACAACTGATCCATACATTTGAAGTATTTGAAATGTTTAGTATTTATTAATTTCACATCCTGAGTCTTTATGATGGATACAGCGTAGGTACCACTTTCATTCCAATTTCAGATTATTGTTTCTGTTTCAGAAAGGTTTATCTTAAGTCCTATTTCTTGGAACACAGCATAGCCCCCTTCATCACCAATACATTGGGAGGTAAAGCAAAATCTTTGTCTTCTATTATACAGCATTCAAAGAGGAATGACATTTGCCAAGACCCTCTGGCTTCACTTGCTCAAAGTATTTTTTACCATTGGTCTTTGGAAGCAGTTATATACAGCTGATAGTTTAGATATTTCTGGATGGGTTTGGCACCATGCATGACATTCATATGAAAGTCTCAATTTGACAAGACTATTTAAGAACAAAACTCGAGTGTCCAGGTTGATGTTTTAATTTTGTAGCAGTTTGTGACATAGAGCAAAACTCACTCTGGCACAGCTTATTCTAGGTTCAATTTCTGTTTCTCTGATACTTAATTTGTTATAACTGCTTCATATGCCGCGGTATCTGAAGTGTTTAGTATTTAATAATTTCACATCCTGAATCTTTATGATGGATTCAAGATAGGCGCCATCACTGCTTTCATTTCAATTCCTGATTATCGTTTCTGTTTCAGAAAGTTTTATCTTGAGTTCTATTTCTTAGAAGACTTGGTAGCAGATTTTGATTTTTCACTCAAGATCATTCTTATAGGTACATATAACTAATGTTCAACACTTTGCTATCTTTATTTCTTCTTGTTCAGACATCTTTTCACAAAAATTTGTTAGGTGATTTGTTGTTTCCTCTCACTTCTATTAATTCATTTGTTGTAAGAGTTAAATTCTTGGAGGACTTGGTCCCCATTATGAATCAAAATGTCAACCACTCTCTTTCTGATTGTAAATATAAGTTTGCTCATAGTGACTATATTGTTCAAAAAGGATTTCCATCCTCTGTGTTGATATTATACAGTAGTTTCACAATGGAGGCTTGTATTTCTCTAAGTCGGTCCTAAAAAGGTTCAACATACAAAACGTTAGGAACTTGATATAACAGTTAATGACGCAGCGATCTAGTTGTGGTAGCTGATACTTTAATGTCCAACATTGATTGACTGACCAACTCACTCAGCTCACTGGCGACTGCTACTACTCCTACTTATTATAGGTGAGAGAGTCTATTAACAATAGAATATGTATGTTCCAGTATAACAGTTGAACAATTATTTTAAACACTGACTGCTGATAATCAATACGGAATTTGTAAATAACAAAATACCAAAACCAAACAAGTGCAACAATTTAGATATCTGGGAAGTATTTTTTAAAGAGAGAACGGGAAATATGACACTGAAATCCGAAGACACATTAGCATCGTGAAAAATGCCTTCCAAAAGCTAAGCAAAGTATAAGAAACAGAAAAAAATCGTTAGAAACAAAGAGAAAATGTTATGCAATTTCAGTTCTCCTATATGGCAGTGAAAGCTGGGAAATTTCCTCACAGATGAAGAAGAGACTTGAAGTAACAGAAATGTGGTTCTACAGAAGGATGCTGAGAATATCATGGACCGAACAACGACGAAGTTTTAGAGAAAATGGAAACAAAAATGACCTGTCAACTTAACATCAGAAAGAAAAAAGATGAAATTTTTAGAACACATAATGAGGAAAGAGAGCTTAGATAATTTGATACTCACAGGACAGATTGAAGGCAAGAAGGACAGAGAGAAACAGAGCATCAACTACCGAGCGAACTTCATGTTGAAACTCCGTTTCCACTGCTATCACCGGAGTTAAGCAACGTCAACACTGGTCAGTATCTAGATTAGTGACCGTTTGAGAATACCAGGTGCTGTAAACTTGGATGTGCAGGTGGTGTAATGGATAATGGCACGGAATTGTTTATCGGAAAGCGGAGTTCCATTTCCCGTTTGGTTCGTTATATTCACTTACGCACAAATAGAATTGGGAAAGGTATGAATCCACATCTTCTCCCTAAGCTATGGGTTAATTAGTAAGACATGTATCACTAAACCATTATGATCTAAAAAAAAAATCTAAAAATATTTTATGGCTTTAAATAACCTGGAAAGGGTCGATGAGTTGTAGAAAAAGTAATCAATTGTTGGAGAAAATGGAT